GTCAGGTGTCCTCCGGCCAAATGACCTTCAAGATACATGTCTAGGGAGGGTAGTGTACAGCTCATTGGCACCACTCAGGCTCTCTACCAGGCTATGTGGCCCTGCTAGCCAACAGACCAGATGCCCTGCAAGCCTGAACGTGTGCCTGCCCTGTTGCTTATTCCTACAGCAGTAGATACATACAGTATTTATCCTTTTGTGATTGACTAACTTCACTCAGTATAATGTCTTCCAGATCCCTCCATGTCATGAAATGTTTCATGGTTTCCTCATTGTTTTTTAGGGACGTGTAGTATTTCATTGTGTGTACACACCAGAGTTTTTTTAATCCAAAATTCTGCTGATATAAATTTAGGCTCTTTCTAAGTTCTTGCTATTGTGATCTGTGCTGCAACGAACATGGGGGAGCATACATCCGTTCGTGCTCTGTTTCTTATGTTTTGTTCAGTAAAGGTATTGCTGCGTCCGATGGTAGTTCCATTGCCATCTGCTTTATGAATCGCCGTATCGCTTTCCACAGCGACTGTGTGTATTTACATAAACCCAGCCCAGTTTTAAAAAACAGAGAACAGCAAATGCTGGAGAGGATGTGGTGAGATTGGAACTCTTACTCACTCCAAATTAATTTTTTAATCATTTGTAATTCTGCAATTGGTTTTCATTTAAGACCATTAAGTGATACTTATTTGCTTCGCTTGGAGTTGGGTGTGTACATTGCATGCTCTCTCTAAGGGCTGTCTTTCCTCCATGGCTCGACTTGCTGGTTTTTCCCTCTCATGGAAACTCTTGGTTAGGTGGAATACTGTGTTTCTAGAGGTAACCAGTTGCCATCAAGTCCACAGTAGCTCCTTTTACCCAGAGTAGAACTGTGTGCCCCCGAGTCTCCAGTGGCCAGGTTTTGGAAGTGGGTTGCAGACTCTCTAAGACCTCGCTGGATGGACTCCAACCTGCAGCCTTTGAGGTAGCAGCCACATACTGTATGTACACCACCCAGGGAGCCTTTCCCAAGGTAGAAGTCGTGAATTCAACTGTGAAATGGATCGTGGAGGTGGCCCAAGAAGATGAAGTTGGCGTAGGTGGAGGCAGTAGGGAATGATCCCTGGAAAATGGGGGTGAATATAAGGTTGTTGGTTTGAATTTACCCAGTGACTTGAGGGGCGTGGCGCGTGGTAATTTGAGTCCATTAAGATCTCAGCCTAGAAAACCCTCTGAGCCGTTGTACTCTGTAGCAAAGGGGGTTTCTGCGAGAGGAGCCAACTCCACAGCAACTAACAGCAGCAATCACATACTAGGTACTTCAGACACATTATGTCGCTAATCTTCGAAATGAGAGAGGTCTTCTTTCTGAAGATCAGAAACAGACCCTATCAGCATTAAGGAGCATTTATCGAATCTCACTCAAGGAGCCCTGCTGGCATTGTGGTGAAGTGTTTGCCTACTCGCGGGCGCACCAGAGAGAACTGCGGCAGTCTGCTTCCTTAAAGACTGTAGCCTTAGCAAGCTTATGGGGCAGCTCTGCTCTGTCCCCGAGGGTCGCCGTGCATCAGAATGCACTCAGTAGCAGTTGGGGGAAGGGGGCATTTTAAATGGACCTCCTCATTTTATCTCTATAACAACTGGAAATGAGCAATTCCCACTTTACAGCTGAGGATGAAGAATTTTAAAAATTAAATGATTAGAACAGGTCACACAGCTAGTTCGTGGTGGAGCAGAGATCGACCCATCGGACCATCCTGGCTGTGTCTCTCAGGTACTTGGGACTGAGGTGTGCTACCGCTCCTCTGAACAATGAGAGCCTGCTGGTGCGTGTTGCCAGTAAGTCAGTTCTGACTTGTGAGAACCCCCATGTCTCAGATTAAACTCTACTCCATGGGGTTTCAATGGCTGGTATCTTAGGAGTATATCACCAGGACTCTCTTCCTAGACACCTCTGAGTGAACTCAAGGTGTCTGCTTTTTGTTTATCAACCATGACATTCAGTGTAGTGTTTGACTCCTTTAATGCCTAAACATTAGGTCCAGCCTGAGGAAATTGCTGGTACCCACAGTTCATGTCTTCTATAATAGCAATTTCATACGGTTCCGTCTAGTGGTATGCACACATACGTTCTCTGTCTCCGATCAACCCTAAATTAGTTCTCAGACACAGCAAACAACTAGGACCCTGTAGATTGTTTTGAGCATCTATAGTTGAATTGTATTAATTCTTTATTAATTAAGAAAAACTTTGAATTTGAAAACAGAATTAGGAAATCCACACATACTTGTCAAATTTATGTATAACTGTTCTTTTTCCAGGAATTCATTTTTGTTATTAGTAGGATGTCTTAAGTTTTCATTGATTTTTGAATGACATAGTTCTGCAAGTGAATTCAGTGTAATGGTGATATGATTATAAAATTATAGTATGATGAGTAAAGGGCCACGTTCTTTTATTCACATCTTTCATTCGAAGATTCTTAGTGATCGATATTTGGCCTTAGTTCAGTTTCTCACTGTACACATGTTTGGTGTATTAGTGATTTATTTGAAGGAATTAAATGTACTAAAACTGTCTGCCTCCTTTGTTCACAGTAGAGACTGTCTTCATTAGTCAGCCTTTTACTTACTTACATCTCACAAATAATCTTCAGCTAGTGGTAAGCATTTTGTTCAGGCTGCAACCTCAACGAAGACCTGGGCAACCTTTGATGTAACTCTTGGTACATGTTGATTCATGTTGATGATGGGGAGACCTCCTGTCTTCTACTCATGGCTGCTCCGTTTACAGAGGTTCATACCTTCGGGATCTGTAGTGTTTTCATGGGGTGGTCTTTAAAAGCAGTTTGCCAGTCCTCTATTTCTAGTCTGGCTTAACCTAGAAGCTAACCCTGTTCAGCATCATGACCTAAGCTTCCATGGACAGGCAAGTGGTGAGGTCCATGAAGTGCAATGACTGAAAACTGAGCCCATGCCTCCTCCATGAAAGACAAGATTTCTACCGCTGAACCAACAGTTGTGCTCATTCTTCTGTGCTCCAGTGTCAGTTCCTAACACCCTACATAGGGAACCTCGATACAGGCTGGTTCAATTCAGTTTCTTGTGTCTCTATGTTAGAAACCCAAACCAAAAAAAATGTTGAACCATAACAATTAGCTGAGTACAGGCCACCAAAAGATGCTTATCAAATTTCTGCCTGGTAGCCTTCACATCAAATGTGGTACAGTATATTCTATTTTTGAATTGTTATGTTCAAATTTCTCTGTTGACACAGACTATATTACACCACACTCAAATGAACTGAGTCTGTAGATTCATAAATTTGGTAATTCATTAAAAAGCTATGTCTTAAAATAATAATTTATAATTTATCAATGGCTCATGAGGGAGGGGGGAGTGAGGAGGAGGGGACAAATGAGGACCTAATGCCAGAGGCTTATGTGGAGAGGAAATGTTTTGAGAATGATGAGGGCAATGAATGTACAAATGCGCTTTACACAATCGATGTATGTATGGATTGTGATAAGAGTTGTATGCACCCTTAATAAAATGATTAGAAAAAAAAAGTTATGTCTTAAGGAAATATTATTATATCTTCCTCCTAAAAAGGAAATTAAGATTATAATGATGAAGATTAATCAAAACAAATTATGCTCTGTGTGCCTTCCAAATTATGCAAAAGGTTGCATTATTTAATCTTCATGACTGTGTTGGTGGGGGTTGTTTTTGCTTTCTTATATAATAAATTGAATTTTTTTATATTATTATGTACAGAGGGTTCATTGAGGTAGAGTTCTTAAGAAGAATCCCTCTATGCAGATTTTATAATTATTCTCTAATTTTGCTTTATTCCGTGTAGCATTGCAAACCATGCTTGAGAGACAATGAAAGGCTCAACCACATTACTCTAACCCATGTTAATTGATTTGGTTTTAATGCAATCGCTGAGTATTTTCTATAATGAACTGCTTTCAAACTGCAGTCATCTGTGAACTGTTTTCATGATCCAGCTCATCTATGAATATGATGTCATTTGCTGACTGTTTTCTTTAAGATAGTTCACTTTTTACCTTAAGTTTTCAAAAGAAAACTCTGATCACCACCTTCAGTTATTTTTTACCATTGATTAATTTCTTACTGATAGCCATAAAGCTTTCTTTCTTAGTCTTTAAGCTATGAACCAGTTGAATTTTTTTAAGTATTGCTTTAAAAATCCAACTGGTTTCATTGCCAAATACCTTAATTTTATAGAAAACTCTAAATCACTACCATGATTTGCTAGATAAGATTTTAGTAGTGCACATTAGACATTTCCATATCTATTGAAATTTTTAAAATAAAATACAAATTCCGCCTTACAAACTGTTCTGAGTACTGCTCCAAACGTAGGGAGGGAGTAGCTGAAAATGAAGATGGGCCACCCCTAAAATAGCGACTCATCTGGGGAGTCACGTGCGTTCTGTTGAAACTTGGCAAGAGCTTGTCCCCGCCCCCACTGACCCTGGAAGTCAAGCCTGCCATTCAGTTAGAGAGGTGCCACGTGGTGTTCACTGTCCCCCTTTTAAAATGTTGCCCGGGTCCCCTCTTAAAGAGTCCCCTTACTAAGCGAAGCTGACCCCCACCTTGTAGGCTTGTGAAGGTGCCGGCAGCAATGAATATATTTATTTTTTTTGTGGGGCTCACTCTGAATCAGATTCAGCATGAGGCTAGAGAATAGATTTGAAAAGGTGATACATTGAAATTCAAATGTAAGGAGGATGAAATTTTGCTATTCACCACTGCCCCCTTTGTTTAAGCCCTAGTCGGCTCCTTGCGCCAAAATAAATGCTACTTTTCCTCCCTGTCTCTGAATGCACCGGCTTATGGAAGACATCCTTCTAATCCATTCCAGGAATGAAGTACAGTTTGTTCTGGTTTTCCGGTTTAATTTTTTTTTTTAATGTGCCAACAGATTTGGATGTGAAATCTTAAAAACAAAAGTATTCTCTTTGAAACATGCAAATGTGTGTCTCCATCACCTAGGAAACTATTATGGGACACCCAAACCTCCGAGCCAGCCAGTCGGTGGGAAACTGATCACAACGGATGCCTTGCAAAGCCTTCAGTTGGGCTCCACGCTGTCGACCCCGAAGCGCACCAAGTCTTACAATGATATGCAAAATGCTGGCATAGCCCATGCGGAGAATGAGGAGGAGGATGACGTTCCTGAAATGAACAGTAGCTTTACAGGTAAAGGCCAGACGGAGACCCCCTCTTCGGTCCTTGGGGTGGGGAGTCGGGAGGCTTTGGTCAGAGCGGGACACACCTGCTGCTCGTGTGTGAATTGGAAGTTGGCCACACAGGGTTTGGAGTAGAAATGATCCTTCCCTTCATCTTTACCAAGGAATATTATGCTCCTTCATGCTTCATGCTTCTTTTGTACTTCTTTATAACAATATTTTAAGTTCACCCAAATATCTTAAAGGGGATATAAGAAGGCAGTATGTTTGCAAACGGGTTTTAAAAAAATCGCCATTGTGTAGTTCTCTCCAAAATATGCTTCTGTGTGTGTGTCCATGTGTGTGTCTGTGTGGAGTTTACCCCACTATCCAAAAGTGGAGTGTTCCTACAAAGTCATTTGTAAAAGCGTAAAGCCACAGAAGCAGCCCCCTCCTCCCAAATAAGCTACTGAATTGTACCAAATCACACATACCACCTAAAATATCACTTTCATTAACTGACGGTTCAAAGCCATGACAGCTTGAGGCTGGGATGCTGAGTCTGGATCCTGGAAAGGAACTCGGGGTCCCCACTCTCACTACTTGGGTGCGCGCTGCCTCTCTAATGGCCCACTGCAAGGCAAATGCTTTTCACCCTTTCCTGTGACAGCAGAATCCCCTGTGGATTTCTCCCCGTCAGCAAAAGCAGATAGGTTCCAATGTAGGCCTTTCATGAAAGTCAAGTCGTGCAAAGCAAAATTACAAATTCTGGGGACTCCTGTATGCATGCATATATGTGTATATGTCAATGCAAATGAACATATGTATTATTTACATTTATTCTGGGGTTTTTTTAACCTCAAAAAACTCTATATTTGTGGCTGATTTTACATGAAGAGGGTCAGTATAATATAACAACTTAATATCACTCTATCCTGTACGGACCATTAGTAGTATTCTTTGCAATTGGAGACTCAATGGGAATACACCATCACATGTTCAGTTAACGTCTGCATATTTTACTAGACATGGTGGCTTCCAGAAGTTCATAGGAAAGCTTCATTATATTTTAATTGTATTTTCCCACAAACTTTTTAAAGCCCCTTCAAATATCCTAACATGAACAGAGGTGGGGAAATAACAAATCTTGCACTGGTGTGATGGTTATGCTTGGGGTGCGAGCCACAAGGTCAGCAGTTCGAAACCATCAGGGGCTCAACGTAAGAAAGAAGAGGATTTCTAGTCCCATAAAGCATTAGTCCTGGAACCCCTGTCCTGGAGGGTTGTTGTGAGTTGGAATTGATCCCATGCCAGTGAGTGAGCTACTGTTCTCAAGAGATATCCTTATTATAGATAGTGTGCATTATGGAATGTAGTATCTATCTATTTAACAACCCATTTCTCTATGTGAGGCTATCTACACTCAAACTTATAGCCCCTTCACTTTATGAAGGGATCGCCCAGGATAAGCCATACACATCAGGTGTGGCTCCTCCAGGGAGCCCAGTGCACAGAGCCTGGATGGTGAGTCCCACGGACAGGGCAGTGAAGCAGCACTGTTTAAGAATAGGTTCCACTCTACGAGGGTTTGTAGTGACTCAAAACAACGGTAGAAGGTAGGTGTAACTGTTCTATAATGGGATGACCTAGAAAAGCATTTTCTTTGATTTTTCCTGTGCTTAAGCTTGTCCTTAAATATTTCAGACTTAAGGCCCTGGGCACTGGACCCATTTTCAATATGTGAGCATGCGCTCTGTGGCCATGACCTCCTCTCACATCACTCCACCTCGGTCACTACTTTGTTGGCCAGGCTCCCAGGAAAGGGGATATTATTGGGTTCAAGATCCCCCTGTCTGTGCTAGTAAGTCAGATGGGATACTAAGTTTTGAATTGGTTGGATGCTACCTGGAGCTCTTTTGGACCTGCCTGAGGTTTTTCTCTTAGTCATTAACTAAACACAGAAGCCCAGAATTCTTCAAGATGCTGATAATTTAAAAGGGAAAAAACTTTTATCACCATTGTAGTAGTAACCCTAAACTTTCTACCAGAAGCACGAGGTAAACAAGGAGAAGGTCTTATTCATTCACCTGGCTTAGTTCTTAGCAGCTGTCTTGGTAGGAACATGCTACCTACCCTCTTTTATTGGTAAGTGACTGGCTTGCAGTAGTTTGTGCCTCAGTTCCCTCTTCTAGCTAATTCAATTCCATGAAAATGTCTATTTCTTTCCCCTGGGGGTTAGGCCAGTAAGTGACCTATATTAGCAATCTCTGGAAGGCATTTGCCATCTTTTTCATATACATGTAGAAAATCCAGCTGATTGTATTTATTCACTCAGGACTATTTCATTTTTAGTCATCCTTGCTGAAATGAATGCTAGTGATAAAAAAAACCAGGGGGACATTTTTAAAAATAGGTTATTCTTTCATGTTTTGATCTTTCAATAAATAAGGATAACAAATTGTGATGTGATTCAAAACATTGTCATGGGCACGGAAACCGAAGACCCACGGGATAGCATGTAGGGAAATGAACGGTTCTGCTAAGCTGACTTGGCCCCCAAGAGGTACAAGCACCTTTTTCTGTGTTTTATGGGTGAAGTAGATATCTTGGTAGAAAACAAGGAGAAAATAAAGGTTGTTGACTATGGGGTGGCTTGAGGCATTTCCTATTTCTAACTGCTAGAAGCCTCAATCCCTACAAATTTCCTTAAAAGACTTAAAGTCCCCATTTGAAACCCTAACATGAAGAAAACACTTAGGCACCCAGCCACCATTGCTAAAAACCAGTCCCATCAACATTATTTGCAGAGAACAGAAAGTTTGGTTGCACCTGATGGTCTCCTTTAGGCAGGTATCGTAACACCAAGAGAGCTGACAGATGCACAGCGGGAACCCTGAGATATATGTATGATGGGGCATCCTCAATATCTAAGAACTATGCCAAATCAACGCCCCCTCACTTACAAGACTGCAATTGTAACAGCTGACAATCTGCCGTACACTAAGTCATCCTCATTCTTTCAAATAATTGGCTTCATGTGGTCTCTGAAATGTGCATATGAAACTATATCAAAGTATTTTGTACTGTCCACTAGGTACTTCGAGCATAGCTTGGCAATATCATAAAGGGGTGTTGACCCCAAGTTGGCCCTTCGTGGTTAAAGACATGGGCATTATATCCAAATGTAGAAATAGTGTGAAGACTTTAAAAATATAGTATTCCAGTCAGTGGTTTTAATGACCTACTGTCTTGGCCACCTTCTGTTGGGATCTTTTGAAAGAGATACCAGGTACTGAAATAACAGGCCTTCCACACTGGGCTGCAATCTGAAAGGCTAGCAGTTCGAAACCACCGATTGCTCCTGAGTAGAAAGACGAGGCTTTCTAGTCCCATAAAGAATCACAGTCTGGGAAATGCGCAGGGGCAGGTCTACTCTGTCCTGCAGGGTCATTATAAGTTGGCATTGACTCGACAACAGTACGTTGGCTTGAAGCTTGGTTTAAGTAGCACTGCAAATGTGTGCAGGAAGAAAGCCAGGAGCCTCCTGGCCAGACGCAGCCTAGGGAGATAGCCCATCCTTCCTTCCTCTTACTGGTGATTGAGGCTGATGCTCTACAATGAGCAGTCATCCCAAGCACTCGCCAGAGGACAGACTATTGAACATAACCAGTGCTCTACAATGGGAACCCACGTATGGACCTATAAGAAACCCTTGGAAGAGAACCCTCCCAGCACACAGTTATTTAAGCAAGCACACGTGTTAAAGCATCTCGTTCATTACAGACACCTTGGAAACCAGAACAAACCGCCATCTCTGAAAAGCAGCTCTTTTACCTGTTACCGCCTCCAAGAGGGAGAAAGTGTTGTTCAAGTGGATTTTATAGGGACCTTGTCCAGCAGCCCCAGGTTGCTGGTGCTTGCTTTGCATCATCAGCAGTGAGCAAGCATTTCTTTGGGATGTCAAGAGATAATAATTGTCATAAGGGCTAATGTTTCTCAAGTGCTGACGATGTGGCAGGCACTTTGCTAAAAGTAGCCAAATAACTGGTGAGATATCGCAAAGCCAGTGATGTCAAAACGGTCATTTCAGCCCAGAAAGTATGACTCTAGAACGTGTCTGCTGATCCACTACCTGGTTTGATTTTCAATCAACCTCATCAGTTCTGTGACAGGTCAAAGATTTTGACTCGCTGTGTTCCAGTGAGGATACACACAAACCAGTGAGCATGTATAAGTTGAAATAAGCTTTGGAATTCTCTTTTGGGTTATAAGCTGATGTTTTTAAAGTCACCATGGAAAGGCTGTGTGTGTGTGTGTGTGTGTGTGTGTGTGTGTGTGTGTGTGTGTGTGTGCTTGGAAGCTTCTGATATATTATGAATGCAATTGCTGTTTATACCAGTCTACTGTTTATAATTCATTTGCCAAGTCTCCTAGTATTCCTCAAAGAAAAGTAAGGCAGGTATACTGTCTTTCCCATTTTGCAGATGATCGCAAGGAGGAAGAGGTTCAAAGAGCACTTGGCACAGGGCAGTGCTCAACACTGGCAGCTTCAAGCTGTTTCCCCATCTGGTCTGCCTTTCAAAATGTCTTACCCCCTCCCTTCTTTAGACTTACCAGTTAAGAGGATTGGCCATTAAGCGGGAGACAGCAATGTTCCCAAATGTTTGATAAAGTAAATGCCAGAGTTATTGAAACAAAGAGCATGTGTCTAAGTACAGCCATGATGTGACTGGGAATTCTTTCATCCACCCTCTGTCTGCATTGACTTTTCCTTTTCAGACTCACTGTTTCCTTTCTGAGAATGGGATCGATTAAAGTTCTGTTGGACTGGAATGAAGACAGGGAAGGCACTTAATGCAAAAACAAATATTTAGATCATTTAAAATAAAGTCCAGTTGCTGGAGAAATTTTTTTTGTTCTCTCGCTCCAGGAAATTCAAATTGTCTAGAAAGCTTCCCCCTGAGTAGATGTGCCTTTGACACGGTCACATTTTCTGCACACAGATTTTTTTTTAAGCCATGAATTATACATGCTGGGCGTGAAACTGAGGCGGTCTCTCATTTGGTATGTGGTGGCCCTCCCATTTCCATGACTTCTTTTTCTGTTACATCCCGCTCCTGCGAAAATGGTTTACTTAAATTGTGAAAGGAAACTGTTGCACATCGACTTCTGCCCTGGCCTTTTGCTGTCCCTTCCGGTTCACAGGAGAGATGAAGGCTGACTTGGGACGTTTATGTTCCAGGACCACATACTAGGACCAAGCACTTTGTGTGATTGCTTCCTTCTGCCTCCCTGGCAGGTGCTCTGTGCCCATTTGACCAGGGAAGAAACTGAGGCTCAGGACGGCCACGTGCCTTCCACAGTGACTCAGAAAGAATTAGGATTTTGATGTGATCACAGCCTTTATATCAAAAGCTATTCTTCTCCTACTTATTTGAACAAATCAGTGGCTGGGAGCTGGAGCTGGCCCGCAGTAAATATTCACAATATTGCTTTTGAGGACCATGTTAGGCCGGGTTGACTAGAGAGACAAGTCCACTGGCACACATGTATATGTAAGAAAGAGCTTTATATCAAGAAGTAATTATATATTGAGAAAACATCGCAGTCCAACTCAAGTCCATATGCCCGATACTCATCTATAAGGTCCCTTTTCAGACTCACACGGCCACATGCAATGATGCAGGAAAATCACAGGCTGGTAGAGCCAAAGGCAGTGTGAGGGGAACTAGCACTGAGGGAACTACGGCATGATCCCTAACTTACAACAGACATGATCCCTAACTTACAACCGAGGGAATCTGGAAAGCTGCTATTTCATTGTAGGAAAGCCTCCACTTTGGTAAGTTAGAGATAAAGTCCAAGTACATTATCCTGTTTTAAATGTCATCCTCATAGATTCTCCCCTAATAGCTATACTGCCTTAAAGTGAGCACATGGTTGATTTTATCTCCCTGAAGAAGTAGACAGCCTGTTTCTGTCTCTTCTGCTGTGTCACCCAGCCCCCTCATACCTTCCCCCAATGCAGGTATTTGGTTTCCTCACCTATGAGCTCAGGGACCTTAATGTAGATATCACCCTCCTTGCGACATATGTAACTACTGAATATGCATGTCTTATGGCTACCTATAAATGTCCCAAGATAGTAAAGATTCCCTCTCTTCTCCTACCTCCACATGGACCACCAAGAGGGGCTGAGGTAAGCATGCTACCATAAATGTGTCTGACTCCTTTATTTTACTCTCTCTCTCTCTTCTTTCCTATTCTCTATGGCTTTACTATATATAATCTTTATTATAACCATACAGTTGTGCCTACGGACCCTTCGGCTGTTAGAGGCTGGCTTCCTCTGACAGCAGTAGACCCACCTGGGCTCTCACGGGGCCCAGAGTGGCCCACCAGGAGGAAGGTGAAGGCAGAGAGAGATGGCAGGTTCCCAGGACATCCTTTATGAGAAGGCCATACCCACTAGGAGACACCATCGGGCTGTGACCTGATTGACAGGCTAGACTCCAGGCCTACACTTTTATATATCTTCAAGCTGACATGAAATTATGTAACTACCACAAGGCCGATAATGATAACGATAATGATGAGGGTGGCGATGATGATGATGATGATGAACACTTATCTCATACTTACTGTGAGCTATTGACTCTATTCAAAGTGCTTTACATAAATTCACTCACTTACTCCTCCCACAGCCCTGGGAGCTAGGGGCTGTTAGTATGCGGCTCTCCAGGAAACTGAGGCTATAGAGTTTATGCAGGGTGCCAGTTAGTCAAAGGCAAAGTCTGCCTTCCAGCTGGGGCACTCGGGCCATGCAGTCATTGTTCGGGAACCACTACATTTCACTGAATGCTTGCACTACACTGCGTTGTTTTTAAAGACACTACAATTCTAAAGATCAGGAGATTTTACATAAACACAGACTTCCACCAACTCTTGAAAAAAATCCACAATCAGCAATTCCCAGTCCACTTTTCTCCAGGCCACTAACTTGACTGGCCCTGAAAGGGTCTTCTTTTCCAGCACAGTGCCCTCTCTCCAGTGCCCCAGCCGGGCACTCCTCACTTGTGCCTCTAACCTGCATGGGTGGGCGTAGGCGGCTGTGCTCAGAGGCTGCGCCACACCGGCTTTCAGGCTGCAGGACACCCAAAAACCAAAGCTAAGCCACTGCCATCGTGTTGATCCTCTCGCAGAATGTTGACCCTATGTAAGGTTTCATGTGCTGGCACTCTACAGAAGCAGACAGCCTCTCCTTTCTCCCGAGGAGCAGCCGAGAGCTTTGAACCACCCACTTTGTGGTTAGCAGCCTCGCACCAGCCCACCTGGCCCACAGGGCCCTTTGTACAGGACAGTAGCCCTCCTAAAAGCCAGACATTCTGTTGATTCTGCCACATGACAGGTTCCAGTCCCCCAAAAGAATTAGCCCCAAGAGAAAGTAGGACATTTCAACCATTGTTTTCCCACCACACTTTTCCTTTCTGTTCTGCTCAGCACTGATATGCCTTTGTCCTCAAAGTGGGTTCTTGTAGCACTTGTTGCTTTAAAAACATGTAAAAATGTGGAGCTTTACCATTTATCTAATTCGATTTATTATCCCATGAGTGATTCTAAAACAATTGTTTCCTTCAGGTTGGCCTGATTTCCTTCCAACCTACAGCTGTTTCATTAATCAGGGCATCCAGATACTAGTCCAAAAACCAACTCAAATTGGTTTAAGCAGGAAAGGGAAGTTGGACAAACAAGTAACTCAAGAAACCTGGAATGGCCTTCACTTAAGCTGGGATATGATAAGAGGCTCCATCAGGCTGGGCAGCTCTTGTCCTGCTGTGTGTGCACCGCCCCCAGGACATGTAGCATGAGAACTTGTCAGCATCAAGGTGACCTTTTGATTCATTGATATGTACCCATTGCTGACTAAATCTCAAAGACAAGAGTGGGAGAGCACTCCGAATGCTCCCAGCAGGAAGTAGACTCGGTTCCTTGGTTCCTTTCCCACCTGGACCACATAGACCTGGAGGCACATCTGAGCTGGTGATAATCCAGGGCAGGGAAGGTCACACAGAGGCTCCTCAACGTGGTGGGTGTTTTTGTGGCGGTGTTATCCGGTGAGCTCGGCATGTCCTTAATAACTGTGGGATTAGCTTCAGTCTTTTGTTTGTCATTGGGAGCTACTCGTCAGAGGAAGACTTGAAAATGGCCTTTTAATTATAAGTCAGTTTGCTTTCAGTAAATAAGAAATGTCTTCAAGAGAGTCACTCTGGGACATAGGAAACACCTGCATCCCCGATTGTCGTGTCTTAAAGCCCCGTGGAGATTGACATTTAATATCATCGTCCTCTATAAAAATTCAGCTGAATGTCAACAGTGTCATTTGCGGTTACTCAATGACATCACCTGAAGCTTCTAGTTAATCTGAAGGCAAAGAGACGCACAAATTTAGAGCCTCCTCTTCAAATCCAAGTCAAGCATGTGCCCACCTGGTGCTGCTCTAGGGAGGCATTCACTGGAGCGTTCTGTCCCTTTTCCGACAGAGGCTCAAATCTGACCCACTGGTATAGTTGTCTTCATATCCTAAGCCAGGGTCCCCTCTCCAGCTGATATTGTAGGAGACTTTGATCTTTGTCGCTATCTACCAAAACCTTTGAAGTAATTTGTGCAAAAAGGACAGTAATGCCACTCTGTCTGTGTTTCCTTCACTAGCTTTTCTCTTACCCCCAAACGCCTCTCAGTCACAAAATAAAGCACTGCCTATGGTCTAAGAGTGCAGCTCAGGTTGTGTTCTGATGGTCTTCTTAAATTTTAGTGACTTCCGAGTTTGAGTCATGAATTGTTTCCTGTTTGGCATTTCAAAGTGTGTGAATAATGCTCTTTTGAGTGTGCTGCTTTCTGTATTCTTTCAGGTAAAATAAGTGTGAGGATTATTTTGATGCATCTAAACAACAAACAGGGGGAATTGATCACAGGGAGCTACATATAACCTCCTCTCTGGGGGACGAGCAGCAGAGGGGTGGGTGAAGGGAGACGCCGGGCAGTGTAATATAAGATACAATAATAATTTATAAATTATCAAGGGTGCGTGGGGGAGAGGGGAGGAGGAAGGGAAGGGGAAGGGGAAAAAGGAAAATGAGCTGATTCCGGGAACCCAAGAGGAAAGCTAATTTTGGGAATAATGAGGGCAACAAATGTATAGATGTGCTTTACACAATTGATCTATGTATTGTGATGAATTGTATGAGCCCCAGTAAATTGATTAAAAGAATTTATTAAAAAAATTTAAAAAAACCAGCCATCCACAGGGAACAGAAGGCATAGTCAATGAGCAGCCATTAGGCAAGCTTGAGGGCTTTTAAGAATACAAACTCAGGAGTGTGTTCCTGGGGAGCCTGGTGGCAAAGTGGCTCAGGGACGAGCTTAACAAAACATTGACAATTCAAACCCAACCGGGGCCTCTGAGGGTGCGCAGACATGGTGGCCAGGTCCAGTAAAACAGCTCGGGAAACCCTTGGCAGTGGGCTACTGGGTCATATCATGTTGCAGTGAGTGGAACTTGATGATGGCCACTAAAACCAGTGCTTCACCGGATTTAGAGTGTGATCGATGACTAACGCTGCCCCTCCCCTTCTCTCTTTCTCCCCCATGTGACTGAACAGCCGATTCCGGTGACCAAGACGAGCACCCTCTCCGGGAGACAGCACTGCCGCCTGTGAATAGTAGCACCGCTGCTGCTCCCATCACGGACCCTTCTCAGAAGTTTCCTCAATACCTACCTCTTTCTGCAGAGGATAACTTGGGTCCTCTACCTGAAAACTGGGAGATGGCCTATACCGAGAATGGAGAAGTCTATTTTATAGAGTAAAGTATAACATGATTAATGCCGACATCTCACCCTCTCCTTCTTTCCCTTCCACCCTCCCCTCTTATAGCTTCAGAGACAAAGTAAAGTTTAAAAGGAATGACCACACACTGAGGGGAGTCTCTCGTATGGTTTAACAATCTCTACATGCACACAAGAGGGTAATTGGCCATACTACTCCAGGCCATTGAGTCTGAAGAACATGAGGATGTATGAAGTTCATAATTTTGCTAAAGGGTTAGACAACTAAATTAGGATATATATAAATAATGGTATCATATGTACAGAGCACAGGAGCCCTGGTGGCGTAGTGGGTTACTTGTTGGGTTGCTAACCTCTAGGTCAGCAGTTCAAAATCACTAGCCACTCCTTAGGCGAGAGATGAGGCTCTCTATTCTCATAAAGATTTGCTGTCTCTGAAACCCACAGGGGCAATTCTCCCCTGTCCTTTCGAGTCCCCCGGAGCCAGAATTGACTTGATGGCAGTGAGTTTGATTTTATATGTACTGAGCACATATAGCCATTAAAAAGAAGTCCTCTACTAACTCCGTTTTTAAAAGACATTGCAGTTGTCTTGAGATGTAAGAGCTCTTCATTTACCCTGGATATATTTCTTTATCTTATATGAAGAGCGATCATAAAGTTTGTGGAAAAGTTAAGTTAAAAGATGATGCAAGTTTCCCACAAACTTTTTGAAGCCTGAATGTAATTTGCATTTCTCACCAAGTCTGGCTTTTCTTTTCATTGTCTTCATTGTGTCATTTGAACAGCAGAAACTTAATTTTGATAAAGTCTAATTTATTAATTTGTGAATGTATAATGATTGTGATTTGGTGTAGGAGGTAAGGAATTTGCCTAAATCAACCAAAGTCATAAAGGATTTTCGGTCATGTTTTCTTTTGGCAATTTTTTATTTTACATTTAGGTCTTTGATTCTTTTTAAGATACATTTTGTACATAGTGGAAGACATATGAATTGAAGTGTGAGAACATGCACATGTGAAACAGCTTTCACAATTATGAAGCTTGAACTCTTTATGCCTGAACATTTAATTAAAAGCCCATACTGAAAAAGGAAAGAATTGACATCACTGAAACCAATCTGAAAAGTCTAAGATATACGGTCTTCCTAATCAACAATGGTCAGTTTTTAGAATACTATACTTTTGTCCTATTATCCATTATTGAATCACAATTATCTTTTGCACATGTACACCACAAAAGGAAAAGAGCTTGGCAAATGAGGATTTAAGAGCGAGGGCGAGAAAGTCTAGGTAAATCTAGTACCAATAGAAATTAAAGTTGACAATATACTGTTATGTGAACAACATAGAAAGGGGAGATCACTACAGAACAATTTAAGTAATATCTCAATTTTGTGAAATGTAAGGGGGCTTCACAGGTTTCTGGAAAAAATGCACTGCCTTTTTTTTTGGATCATTTTTTGGGGGGCTCTTTGAGCTCTTATCACAATCCATACTTCCATCCAGTGTGTCAAGCACATTTGCACATATGTTGCAATCACCATTCTCAAAACATTTTCTTTCTACTTGAGCCTTTGGTTTCAGCCCCTCCCCACTCCCCCACCCTTCCTCCCTCATGATCCCTTGGTAATTTACAAATTATTATCATATTATTTTTCATGTCTTACACTGACCACTGTCTCCCTTCACCCAATTTTCTGTTGTCCGTCCCCCTGGGAGGGGGTTATATGTCGATCCTGGTATCACTACTCTCATTCTTGGTCCTGAGGGGTTTATCTGTCATGGATTCCCTGTGTTTTGAGCCCTTGTCTGAACCAGTATACATGCTCTGATCTAACAGGATTTTTAAAGTAGAATTGGGGTCATGACAGTGGGGAAGGGTGGAGAGGAAGCATTAAAGAACGAGAGGAAAGTTGTGTGTTTCGTCGGTGCTATACTGCATTCCGCCTGGCTCATCACTTCCTTCTGTAGACAATGTCCAAATGTCTCCAGGTGGGCTTTGGGTTTCCATTCTGCCCTCCCCCTCATTCACATCGATAAGCTTTTTTGTTCTGGGTTTTTGATGCCTGATACTTGATTCCTTCAATACCTCATGATTACACAGGCTGGTGTGCTTTTTCCATGTGGGCTTTGTTGCTTCTGAGCTAGATGGCTGCTTGTTTATCTTCAAGCCTTTAAGACCCCAGACCCTATATCTTTTGATAGCCGGGCACCACCAGCTTTCTTCACCACATTTGCTTATACACACATTTTGTCTTCAACGATTGTTTTGGGAAAGGTGAACATCACAGAGTGCCAGATTATTAGAATGAAATATTCTTGCATTGAGTACTTGAGTAGAGGCCCAATGTATATCTGCTGCCTTACTGTTTAACAAAGAAATATATGTACATAGATCTGTTTCCCTATCGCTATATATAAATTTATTTACATATGTACATACCTGTATTTGGACCTCCATAAATGTTCTTTGCCTCCTAGTTCTTTCCTCTATTTCCTTTTACTTTCCTCTTGTCCCACTATCATGTTTAACCTTCATTCTGGTTTCAGTAATTCCTCTCGGCTACATTGTCCTTGATCAAGCTCTCCCAGGCATCCTATGCCCTCCTCACCATTGATTTTAGATCACTTGTTGTTCCCTTGTCCCTGTGGTTGTTGGCATCCCCCTTCCTTTCCCCCCACCTCCTCCTCTCCCATGTCCCCCTAGAGCTGTCAGTCATGTTGTTTTCTCCTGTGGATTATTTATCCTGCTTATCTTATCTAGATAGATATGCAGCAACAATTATGAGCATAAAAACAAGACAAAGCAAAACATAACAAAAGAAAACAAAAACCAAAACAGCAATAACAACAACAAAAACCAACAGCAAAAAAAGAAAAGCCTATAAAATAGTTCCAGGTCTGTCTGTTGACCTTTAGGAGTGTTTTCCAGTCAAGTCTGACGGGATGCCACACCTTGGCCCCAAAGTCTATTTTGGGTATTTCTGGGGGACTTTGTTGCTTTGCTCCCCCTGCTACTCTGTTGCACACCCTTAGTGTTTTGCCTCGGTGTGGTGGGGTCAGACTGGGCACAATTCCCACACTGAGTCAATAGCATTGTACCCCATAGCTGTATGGGTCAGTGAGAGACGTCGTGTCTTATGGTGAGGCCGGTCCTGTGGTCCTCTCTGTGCATTGGCTGCTCTGAGGTGGAATATCATCCTCAGGGCTTGGTGGGCCAGGATGTGCTCCACTCTCTCTCCTTCCTTCTTCATTTGCGTCCCTCTCCTTGAGCAGCAGCTTCATTTCGGTCCTCTGAAGTGCATTTTTCTGGGGGTTGGGGGCCCTACGTATGTGGGATTGGGGCTGGCCCCAATGCATTTCCTTTTCACTTTATTTTTCCATAAACTTAATGAAGCCCCCTCATGTGTGTTTTACACACACACACACACACACACACACACACACACACGCCATACATCTGTGAAGATGACCTTAAGTACTTCACAAGGAAGGTGAAAGAGAGCCTGTTGTATGAATTACACAAGAATGAAAAGAAGACTGACATCCTTGAAGTGAACCAGTCAAAAAGCATCATGGGAAATGAAGGAAGACATTGAAGTTATTCATGATTTCACTCTGCTGGGGTTAGCAATTAGTACCCAGAAGAGCAGCAGTCAACAAATCAAATGGCATCATGTCCTGGACACATTTGCTGAGAAAGACACCTTTAATGTGTTGAAAAACAAAAATGTCACTTTCACGAATAAGGTGCGCCTGCTCCAAGCCCAGATACTTTTAATCTCCTCATAGTACGTGTAAAAGTTGGACTATGAAAACAGAAGACCACCGGAGGATGGATGCCTTCAAGTCCTGATCTTAGCAAAGAGCTGGGAGCATATCTTGGATTACTAGGAACATCAACAAATCTTGGAGGAAATACAGCTAGACTGTGTCTTAAAGGCCAGGAGAGGAAGGGCCTATCTTACTTCCATAATACATATCATTGGGAGGAACTGATTGGGAGAGAAAGACATCAAGCGTGGTAGAGGGTCAGGAAACAAAAGAGGAAGACTCTCAATGATATGAGATGAAGCAACCCAGTGAGCACAATACTGGGCTCAAACAGCACAATGATGAGGCAGGCACAGCACCAGGAAATCATTCATTCTGTCATCGGCAAGGTCACTGTGAGCCAGTGACACCCAACTACCATGTTCACACATGTGCTGTGTGTATTACATGTGCACCGTGGATTCTGTATCTATGTGCGTACAGTTCTGCATACAGAAAACAAGCAAACAAATCTGGAAGTGTATCTGAACAATTGGGCAATAAGCTGAGTAAGCACTTTATATCCATATTATACATTTCCTTTTACGTTGAAGTTTTATACAGAGCATGTATTTTGTAATGAAAAGGGGGGAGGGGTTTAAAAATGCATGCTTCCTGAAGACATGGTCGTGAGGGGGAAGATCGGGGTCTTAGCACACTGTCTTTGAGAACCTACTTAGGAAGAGTGAGACGGCAGCATAGAGCTCCTGTGATTGTTTCCAGCCCAGGAGGAAGGGGCAGTCCCTTTCCACCTTCATGTTAACCAGCAAACAAAAGCTGATGAAAGGCAACCGTGGAAGGCATTGCCTTTGCCACGACCTGCTGGTTGTGTCATCTTGGGAACTGAGCTTACCTCTGTGCCTCTCAATTTCCCTGTCTGTAAAAGCAGAATGACATGTTATGAATTATTCCAACTTTGTCAGATAGGCCGGAGAATTAGGCGTGATCATGACTGTAAATCACTGAGATCAGTGCTAATTAGTGATCTCTGTTGTAATCACCTTCAGCTTCAGCATCTTTGTCTACTGCAGAGGCGTTTCACCCTTGTTTTTTAGATGGTGGTGATCGCTCAGGAGGTGTGCTTATCTTTTCAAATAAGTTGTCTTTTGAAATTATGTGCAGTCGTGAGAACGATGCACACTGAGAAAGGGGCGCAAGGTCTTCTTGATACAGAATACTGTGTAGACCTCCAGTTCTTAAAG